ACTATCTTCTATTTGCCTGCTTCCTCAGCTCAGTTGTCCATCCTGGAAAGGACGTCTGTGGTTTCCGTCCCAGGCAACTACGACGGGTCCACAAGGCACATGCATCTGGAGGAGCTCCAGGGCAAGCTTGTGCATCAAAGTAAACCCATAAGACCTGTGGAATAAGCCTTTCCCTTTTATGCCTATTGTGGGCAACGCTGCAACAACTTCTAATGATTTTTTTTATGACTTTGGCCTAAAAGAGGAACAACAGGAGAATCCGGGCAGAGTAAATCAAAACTACATCCAAAAGTTTTTGGCCATACCAGGTGTGCTGCATGACCTGAATTTATTACATATATGAGAATCTAGAACAGAAATTGTTGTAAAAAAATGCTGGTTTTTTCCCCTCCTATGAAAATTTGTTGTATTGCACATCAACTTCAAAATATGTTTAATTGTTAAAAAAAAAAATTTAAAATGTCGTAGGCTATTTCTGTTCCAAAGTCAAGGCTTTAAAAAAACCTAGTAATATTAAACTAATGCAGTTAGTTGCTCGACTGCAAGAGGCACAACCCCTATCGTGCTAATTACAAGTCAGATGGAGCCAATTGAACAATATTGCATTATTAAGGTCTTACTGTACATTCTCAGGCTGTTAATATCTATTAGATTACAGCCGCATTATACTGAGTGCTCATTTCAGCAGAAATTTATAATGCTGGCTACCCTTTGGGTGGATCATGGTATTTACATACCATATGTCAGCATGAGATTACAGAATGATTTATGCTTTTTGCCTAGACCCTTCAGCAAACTGCAACCAGCTCCAGTAAGCTACAAAGCTGAAACTCCATTCCAACCTGACTTTGACAATTCAGCTCTCAGGAAGCATGTGCATTTTCAAAAAATAAGGAAAAAGACCACCAGCAACTGGTACAATCAAACTTCATACAAAGCAGCATTTGACTTGCCATATCTCAACACAAGTAAGTAATGCATGCTGTTTTTCCTGATGAGAGGGGCATAGAAGATGAACTAGGGAGGTTCGCTGTGCTGTAAACAAACTAGTCCTAAATTGCAAGGAGAAAAAAGTGAATAGTCATCTCACTTCTTCCAAAAAAGAGCTGCCACCTGTCCCCCAAAGTCATAGTCTCTCTCCACTACCAACACTCAGGTATCCCAGGTCCCTCTGTAATATGCAGAAAGCAACCAATGAACAAGAACAACAGGAACTATTTGTACTTGTGCTGGTTGTTATCTAAAAATAGTTACTCAAAGACGCTGTAGATAATGCCAGTACTGTGTATCAGAAGAGCTAAAGAATCAGTTCCTAGATACATGCACAAATTGATTCATCAATGGAAAAAAACTAAACATAGTGTAAGAAAAATACACTTGATTTAATAGTTCTAAAGTGGCAGTGAAGAACACTAGGATTTAACTCAACATTACCTGTTTAAAGTTGAATGGAAGATATTTGAATGTGTATTTATTGCAAGGTATTTTAAAGATGACATGTCAAATAAGTTGTAAGACTCAGACCAACGAAGAATGGTGTAAAATTTTAAGTCTCTGCAAATAATGCATCACCTGTGTGTATATGTATGTATGCACAGCAGTCTGCCTTAAGTAGGTAAAGCTGTCATGCACCAAGAAGTGTGCTTTATTACTATACCGCTAGGTTTATTAAGTTTCACTGTTTCAGAGACTAGGAACACTATGGGTGGGAGAAAACTCACCAGATTGAGTTGCCCCTTATCTTCATCCCCAGCTACTTTGCCTTTTACTTTTTCTAAACCAGCCACACATTTGATTATGTTTCATTAAGGGAGCTGGCTCTGACAGCAAAAGGAAACCATAATCTTCTATTAGAAAGTAGATTTCCAGGATGATGATAGACGAAAGCAGCTGTCATGCATTACATCAACATTATCTGTCTGCCACTTTATCTGAAGGTCTGTCCATTAGCTACATGCCAAAACCCAATTACACGTGGAATACAAATGGAAAGGCTGAGCAGCAGAAGTATCCCCCACTTCCCCTCCTATTAGTTAGTAAAGGAGGCTCACTAAACCGTAGGGACATAAGGGCTATTAAATACTGCAGTACAGCACAAGCCTAGGAGAATCAACCTCGTAAATATTTCAGTGGCAGCAAGAATGGCATGAGATCAAAATACCTTGTCTGTCATCAGCCTTGTCAGGTCTAACAGGTACCCGTGCCTCCTGAAAACATCCCATTAGCGGGAGGGGACACTTGGAGGAGAATCAATTTCAACTACTATCCTACGCTGCCATCCTCCCCCCTTACGTGCCAGCAACAGAAGAGACTTCACAGAGAAAGGGAGTACCAGGAAGGGCCTGAGAAATACATGCTTCCCATTGAAGTACAAAGGATTTTCCTTTTATTACAGCTTACTACTGGCCTGTGACAGACAACCAAAAGCCTTTTGCCAATGTATTGCCAGTGTGGCAATTCCTTTGAGGCCAAAGGGCTCTTGACTAATGAAGGGGGAAAAAAAGCAGAACAGTGAATTTTGGCTAGAGAAAAACTACAAGCGCCTTCAAAGACATGCAACTTTGTCCCTGCTAAACACACTGCTGGTGGTCGAGTATTAGGCTGTTCCCTTCTTCCTCCCTGCTTCTATAGTTGAACATAGCATGGTTTCAAGAGCAGAGCATACAGCGCTTGAAACGATCTCCTTAACTTTTAACATTTGTTTCCACAGCATTCAGGTTGGTGATAACACATCCCAGCCTATTTCCCCGTAAGTACAAATGAGTAGCATTGGGGGAGGGGACAATTTGGTAGAATATAACCATTCTATAACTATTCTTTGACACGAAGAAAGTGTTCGTGCACCAGTCCAAGAATTCACTCTAGCAAAGCTTATGCGAAAGTGGCATTCAGGGACAACATAATAAGCTTTACAGATGCCAAGTTTAACCACCTGAAATTTAAAGAGAAAAATTCTTCGTTCCAGGTCATGAGAGTAAATATACACCAAGAGATCCTGGACTGCGTATTATCTGGACAAGTACTGGTAGGAGGATGTTTTCAACTCTCCAGGCCTGCACTTGATTGGAAGAATCAAAGAAAAATCTCAGCTGAACTTAAAAGAAACCAAAAGAACACAAATCACTCTTGCATCCAAGACAATTCTGTTTTGTTTCTTTAACTGCACAAATACTTTGTATCATTTTAGGCTATAGCTATATTGCTTAGAAATCCTGCTGCATCTGGGAATATGAATTCCTCAACTGAAAAACAAGGGTAGTTTGTACAGTGGAGTTACAACAATGGAAGAATTGAAACAGGCCTTGAACTTGAAGGTCTCTCCTTGGCAGAAGTGAAACACAACTACATAGTAAGCCCTCATTTATTCACTCACTGTAGAAGGAAAGCATGCCCTCATTTATTTATTTACTCACTCCTTGAACCAGCTAGGCCCCCAGTCCTTGGCTGGTAATTTCACTGACAGCACAAGTCCCCTTGGTGCCTCCTACAGCTACAGGAAGACAAGAATACTTGGTAATTGACATTGCAAGGTCAATTCCCTCCATCACCTAGAAAATAGTAATACTGTTTTTTTCCTTCTAAAGGAACATTGGAATTTATGTTTCACACAGTTATATCCCTCCTTCTCTTCGTTAGGGAATTAGGAAGAGATTTTTAATTCAAGATGCCCCTTAGCTAGGGAGGGATGGTATGGTTCTCTCCTGGACTGCGAGGCTGACAGCAGAAGTAGACCCTCATCCCCTCCAGAAAAAAACTGAGTATGAAGTTGGTTGTTTTTTAATGCTGAGGAGAATGATCTTTACACACAATGCTGATACAAAGGTCTCTCAATGTATTTGCCAGTTTTCCAGCATTCTGTGGTATCCTCCTCTTTCCACATATTACACAAGTAAAACACACACCCTGCTAACAGCTCTGTCACATGCAAACAATTGAATAGAAAATGCTCCTTAAATATCAGTAATTTTATCCTTCAATCCTCCTGTTCCTCCCCTTATGATAAGCAATTTTATTTTATGTCAATTGAGAACATAAACATTGTGCTGAACACCTCAACAGCAGCATCAATCCAACAAATCTATTCTATTTCAGGCAACATCTGGTTACCTAAGACAATCTCGAGGGTTTGGTATCTTCTATTTTGCATTAAAAGTTTCTTATATTTACCTGCATAGCCGAAATCTACTGAACTAAATCTAAAACTACTATCCCACCCTGATACAAACTTGTTTTGAGGAAACAAAGTAAGTTTTATTTGAAGTGAAAAGGAAGCACATGAATACCATAGTATAGTGTGTAAAAACAAAGTCATTCTCAAAAAATCTGGAAAGGGAATATGTAATTATTGGATTGTTGCCAAAAGAAATTAGATTCTTTGGAATATATAATAATAGTTATAAATTAAAATAATTCTAGAACATTTCCCGACACTAATAAGCCAAAATATGTCAGATGTCATGAGGTGAATACTTGTTATTTTCCCTAAAAAAAAAATACATCTAAAGCAAATACGTTGAATACTTTAAATGTTATTTCTAAAGCATCTTCAACTTATAATTACAAAAGTGTCAGTGCTTTGCCAGTTCTCCAGAGAGAGATCTTCTATTGGATACGTAGAAAGGAATTTAAAAGGGCATCAAAATGTTAGACTTCTCACCAAATATAAATATAACCTCATTTAATTAGGGAAACAGTTTGAGATACGCGCCTTGGAAGTAGAGAAGTGCAGGGTTTTTAAAATACCAGAAAAAAAAAAAAAGAGTAACATTATAAAACATTTAACTCAAAATCAGAACAGTTCTTTAATAATCGCAAATGAACTTTTTACAATATCAATTTTCTAACTTTCTGGGCACACTTCCTGGTAAACACTTGAGTGTCCTCTGTGAGTTACAAAGAGTAAGTTTTCTGTGTTACACAGCTAAAAAACCTGGACATTCTTAACAACTTGGCATCACATCTTTTTTTAAAAAACAGATCACACAATAATTTAGACAGCATTTATAGCATTATAAAATCAGAATCCCCCTCTTTAATCACTCACAAGAGCAGCCATTAAGAATACAACAGCGTTAGGAATACAAATAATGAGGATGTAAAACTATCTGTGCAAAACTGCATTATTTTTACTGTCTAAAATTTCAGGGAAGTAACACCGCCAAAAGCAGAGAGAGGATAACAAACAGTCATGAAAGTAATGCTACCTTAGATTTTCAAACAGGAATTACATTATGAAGTAAATATTAGGTAAAGAAAAAAAAATCTGATGGCACCTTGAACAACAGTGACAAGTGTCTTGGAAATTGCAGTTGAACAAGAACTGATACAGGTTCATGTTAAAGTCTCTTTCAGGAGTAGCGATTGATTTGGGGGTATCAACTCTAGCATTTCTTTCCATGCAAAAAATCTATCTTTCCAACATCTTTGCTTTGCGGGCTACTAATGCATTTAAGAATGAGCAGTCTTTTGAGGAGTGTGCTTTCTTCCATGCATCTGAAATCTTTAAAACAGCTGGATCATTGATTCCCTGGATTTCCCTACTCCAATCCATTTAACTGCAGGAGAGAAAAGCAAACTTTTATTATAAGTAATACAAAGCAAGATAGGATTGTATCTTAAGATACAAACTTATCTTCTTAAGCACTTAAGGTCTTAAGTACCATACTCTGAAGAAAAACACAGCATACACTATTAGTACGTTAGGAAATTATAACTATGTCTACTGTTCTCAAAGTACGAATGCATTGGTAACTTAGAAAAGCAGGAACAGTCTTGAAGCTGCCATAATAAATAAATCCATTTTTGCAGATGATAGGAAAAAAGATACATAGAAACTGTCAGAAAAGTAAAGATTTGCATCATCTCCTAATTCCCAGCTTTGGATGCAACCACAGGATCATCTTTATTAGGGAGCATAAGAGAAATCTGTTAGTTTAGGACCTCTTACTGTCACATATACTTAATCACATTAATATACCAGTAGTCCCGCTTACTTTATAATGGCAGCTTATAAACTAAACCCCTATTATAACCAATCTGAAAAACACTTAAGCAAGTTATAAAAATCTCAGTTGAACAAGAACTATAGTGTAAGCCAAAGAAAGAATGCATATTAAACTTTTGAAAATTTTCAATTCAACAGCTAAATAGATAGATAAAAAGATAATAATTACAAGCATCACCAGGTACATCAGAATAAGCACAGCTACAAACTAGTTTTCAATATTTTGAATGTTCATTAAGGCAAAGTACAAGATAGGTTTCATGGAGCAGGAAAAAACCAAAACAACAACAAGATCTGTTTTACTTACCAGGAACACCCAACTCCATTTCTATAAAGCGAACATAATTTTGTGCATTTACAGGCAGCTCATCAAACGCCCTTGCATTTGATATGTCCGTATCCCATCCTGGGAGTGTCTCATACTGAACCTCTACTTTATTTAAGACTTCCTGGTTGGCTGAGAAGCAAACAGAAAGAAAAATATTATGTCTACAAAGATTATATATTCTCTACCACTAAACACATAACTGTAAAGCTTTTTATTCTTTTCTTATACATAGAGGTTTACTCATAAGATAATACCAGCACTGAAGGTGCTGAAGTGTCCTTTTTTGTTAACATAAGCAGAAAAAAAAAAAATCCAGCAACCATCAGGACTTAGACTTTAGGAATTCCAGTACTCACAGTCACATGCATATATTTTGCTTAAACCACAATCTTTTCAGTTCAGAAAAGAACTTTCCAGGAAAAGTAATTCCCCAAAATGTTGATTTTTTTGCTGAACAAATACCCAGATCCAACTCCCCCTTCATGAGGGAATTTGGTGATGTGAAAGCAAAATTAGGTACCAGCTTGTCAGTATCAGGCAGTTAAAACATATTTTAAAATGGCATAGAAGTGGTTTTTTTACTAAACATGGTCATAAGATGTAGTTTATCCATAGCAGACTTCTGATGCCCACAGACCCTATCCCCAAAACTCTACAACAAATTTGTCAACCACTATGGAGTCCCACATGATGTATGAACAGTAACTGTTCCAATTACTTCTCAGAATAGAAGCAATGAGTATATTCCATTTTGTCTTTCATTTAGTAACTTGCTACAATGTTGTCCATTAACTCTGAATCCTGTGATGATTTCAAGTACTGGAAAAGATGCTAAGCACATTGTTCTGCAATTGAATCATTCCAGTAACTACCTGAACATTAGTCTTGGAATGACACTGGGCAGCGAAACAAAAGCCTTAAGCCTGAAAATGGTCAAAATAAAAAGTGGGAAGTGTCAGGCATTCTTGCCTTCTGAAAAAGACAGGGTTCTGCCAAAGGCACTGTAATTATGTATGTAGGCTCCACGTCTCAGATCAAGTCACTCCTGCAAAGACAGCTAGTCAACCTGGGAAAGGGTTTTAGGTGCTAGAGGCACAGTCGAGGTGCAAATACAAAACCATAGCTAATCTCCTCCAGCGTGTGCGTAGCCAACAAACTCAGGCTCAGCATATTGAATAATGTGTCCTGGTGCAGGTAAGAGTTCAACAGTAGCAATGTTGTAAGGACAACATTGTGAACTAGGCATTTTGAGTACGGGTGAAAGAGGACTATGCTCTACTGACTTCAAAGCCTACAACAGTAAGAAATGCACAATTTTTGGACTGAAATATTCACAGGTTAAGGCAAATGACCCTGAATCAATACTTGTTGTAATCAGGACAAACAGACAGGCACATTAAGGATGTTGGGTTGCAGAGGCCAAGGATAAGCACTTTCTTTAATGTCATCAGCAGTAACAACTGAGGTGTTATCTGCTGTCCAGGAGATCTGTAAAATAGAATAGCTATATTCAAAGTGCAAAACCACAAACTAATCTCTGGGCATTGCAGATGATCTAGAATAACACGCTAGCCTCCCTCTTTCTGAAGAGGGAAAGTGACTGAACACCTAATCTTAGAGGTCCACAGGCATTTTTACTTCAAAGCCCCTCTGATGAGGCTAGCTGGGAGAAAGGTGAAAGCACTTAGAACTTAGAATGGTCTAATCTTGTCTACAGTCTTCCATTACTCTGTATTAGTTCAATTCCTTACTTCCCTAAAAGAGAGGAAGAAAAAGAAGGGATACATTTCTTGATGTTTCAAATGATTCTCTCATTTTGCTCCAGCAGGAAAGATGATGTGTGGTAAAGATAAGCCATAAACTGAGCTCAGGGTAGTTACATATGTAGTCACCATCTAGATTTCTCTCAGCTCTTCCCTTAGGAGGATTTATCTTTTAGGCTTTCTGGAATATTCCTTATCAACAGCTGAATTAGATAACAGAGAGAGCAGATATGATGATATCTGGTAGTCTGGTACTATAATTTGGAGAGGGAATGATGTGATATTACTTCCAACTCAAAAAGAATAGCTGAAATTGAGGATCTTGGCACCATTGTAAGAAAAAGATCCTCCAGCAATTTCCAGAAACTGAACATAAAACCAGTCATATAGGTCAGACCAAAGATGCATCTACCACAGTGTCCTAGCTCTTTAATCTACAGTAGATGCCCAGGGAAAAAAAGCAAGCATGAAGTAAAGTTTCTCCAAAATAATCTCCCAGTTTCCTAAGGATCTGTGTTTCCAAAGTCTCCAGAGGTAGAGGTTGTGTCTGTCTGTGTCGAGATCAATGACACCTGAACTTGGACAGGAGGGAGACACTAGCAGGACTAGACCATGGCTTTCACATTCCTTTTGAACTGATCAGCTTAAAGCCAGCAGGGAGTTCTAGCCTTCTTTCATAAACTCCTATGACTGAACAGAAATGGAAATACTGGCCAGCTCCATAGCAAAAGACTACAGCCTCAATGATACCAACTGAAGTCAGCTGTAAATTTACAAGACATTTTCAGCTCTTTTTTAACAGGAGATTATGAAATGCCCACAGAAATCTAAGCTAAAAAAGCTGAGTGAGACTTGTATGATTCTCTGATCCAGCTGGAAAAAGGAACAATATATGAAACATGGCATGTTTTTCCTGAGATGGTGGGCACCGTGCGTGCTTCTAATTTAGAACAGTCATTTCACAAGAAGGGTAAATCACTAACACCTCCAAGAGAGTGGGAGGGTAGGGAGGGGAGAGAGAAAGAAATACCTTGCCAGCAAGAGATTCCCAGACTAGATCTCTTCTAAATTAAATTAAAAATGTCAAAGTGGCAAGTTTAAAAAAAAAAAAAAACAAATTATACAAGTGCACAGCATGCAGAGATGTAGACATCAGAAATAATCTACTGGTCTGCAAAACACAAAGTGGGAAGAAAGTTACCTTTTGGTTTTTATGCCAGGGGCAGGGGTAATAAGTAACCTGCAGCATATGTGCTGAAAATGCTGCCAAATGTTGAGGAGTATAGCAAAGAGAGAGGTGTGGAACACAGAGGCACTGTGAGAGACAGCATCCTCCAGCTTACCAGAAGTTCAGCTCAAACTCCTTCCTGACACTTAAGGAAGACAGCATGTCAACAGCAAAGACAACAGCTTCTACTAAATTTCTACCAGAATTCTTACTTGTTCATACAGTAAAGAAAAATACAGTTAGGCAGGTGAGCCACATTGTGCTGCTATGACCAAAGGTCAGCTACCTGTTACCTGGGTATATACAGGGAGCAAATCTGACCTCAAGAGTTGTAACAAGATTCTGGCCCCATCTGGGAGACACAATGAATGGAAAAAAAAAAAGTAATCATTGAAGTCTTAGTACCAGAAAACATGGCCACCTGTTTATGTCATCTTTAATGACAGACTGCCAGAGAAGGTCCTCCTGGCTTGAGCACAAGATAGTCCAAATAGCCCCCAGGTTAGATGACAGGGCTACAGATGAAGCATTTGCTGAGTAGTTCTCAATTCAAACGTGCAATCTCCATTATATTCAAAGGCCATCTAAAATACACACAAATTTCCTTAATATTTTGATAAGGGTATCAATCAGGGAATATCTGAGTCTTAAAAAGGAAAAAGCATTCCCTGGTTTAGTGCAAGACGAGTACTAAATTTCCTGAATAGAAGTCCATGCCATTTCATTTCAGTATGCATTCAGATTGTAACTGGCACTTTTGTTTGAAGATACTGGAGGGCAAATCAATTAGAGAACTCCCCCAAGCACATGGAGAAACAGAAGTCTTTTTGTTAATTCCTTGTGAACTTCCCTAACAGATATGTGCTATTTTCAAGGACTACTGGCAGATGATCACTTATTTCTTTACACATAATTACATCTTTATACTACATCAATCCTGCTGTGAGTTGATCTTCTCACCCACAAAAAGTTCTCTGCTGATATTGTATGAAAAATTGTAACCTGTGACCAGCGTCAAACTCTGAGGTAGCAATTAGAATGGAAACGGGCATCTCTGCGCACATTAGAAAATCAGAAAGCCCAATCTTTAGTACTGGTTAATGCTCTTCCTTTCTCTGGAGTATCTCTACTATAGCAAACTGAAAAAGATGCGTTATCCACGAAAACAATGTTTTGTGATATTTGAATATTTTAACATGCAGATACATTTTTCAGATAAAAATGATCACTAAACTGACCACTGTCCTCCTCAGAAGCTATAGTTTCTATGATGCTAAGCTGATGTATGTTGGTGCTGCATTAGAAAATAGTCTTGCTTTCACCTGAACTAATTGCTCATTTCCTCCCCCACCCCTTTTCCCTCTTTTCCATTGCATAGGTGTGACAGGTTTTTGGCTGCTCTGTGAACCATTAAAGGGAACTGAACTGTTAGAAAAATAACACAGGGAGAGAAAAACCTGGCTTTTCAACCGGCTCAGTTCTCTCATGTGGTTCACCACATGAGAAAGACCTGTCCTTCTAGAAGAGGGGATGAATACAGTAGTGGGAATAAGACACTTGGGTTTAGAGTGTGAAACCAGCTTCCAATTTAGCTTGCAGGTAATGCAGGCTGTATTAAAGGAAAGGGATAAAGCAGTAGCAACTTTTACGTTTAAGAAGCTTTATATAGCACTTTGCATCGTTCTAGTAGACAAATGACAGTATTTGGTACAGCTGTCTTCAGGGTGCGGGAACAGGTATGGTACAGGGTGTCTCTGGTGCATCTGGGAAGACGTTAATGGCTTGATGCTGAAGTAACACATTCCTGTCATAAATTTTACAAGTAAAAGTCAAATGCATTTAAGTATCAGATTACATTTCACCAACACCTAAAACTGTTAAACAAGCAGACCTACCAGGAAAATGAGGTATGATTTCACCATCTAGTTTGTATGCAACACCAACTTTGATTTCTGGAAATACATCCAAGATATCTAATTTGGTAAGCGCCAATCTATAAAGAAACATTACTCTGGTTAAACAAGTTCAACAACTCTCAACTCTCATCACACTGTAAAAATACCAAAAGAAATATTGATTCCTGCACATTGCAATTAATTGTCTTTCCTTAGAAAAATAGCTTGTATGGCACTAATCTATTTATCTGGTGTGACTTTAAAAACACACACTTAGACAGCCTTTTTGTTGTGTCTTTAGACCTAGTACTGTAAGAAAATGGCAAAATTCAAAGAACATGTATTCTCCAATTAAAGTGACTGGTCTCTAGCTTTAAGTTAGAATTTTAATTGGTCAGGGTGCTGCCAAGATACTTTATGACCATTCATTTGCAATGGTTTCATAGCATGATGCCTGTTGCTGTCTGTTCCTGTCCTCTGCCAAATGTTCCTGTCCTACAGTGAAGGCAGAATAATCAAACACTGGCTCTGTAAATACCTGGCTGCATCCTATTTTAAATAAAAAACCCAAAGGACAAGAAAAACAGGAAAATTTAAGTAAAGAATGTATTTACACGGTTTGATCTAATAGAAATTTTATACCAGTTTTGTTTCAGACACCTATTTTTCATTTTAATTAAAATCCCAAAGTCATATCCAAATTTTCTACATTTACACATACTGCTGAAGATACTGATGGGTTCCCATCTGTCTTATTTTTAAAACAAACTAACAAAACAAACCCCCACAAGCTCTATCAGGTTTTAAGGCCCTTGTAATGCATTTGATTTGATTTGGGCTTGGTGGGATGGCAGGGGTTGGGGTAGCTTGAAGCATCAAGTACTAAGATACGTAAGCGCTTCTTGGATCATTTTAAATGAGAAATAACAATGTGCTACAAGTAAAGGAAAGAAAAATTTACAAGTATGAAAATGTCAAATATAAAACCATTTAATGCTAGGAAAAATGAGGGACAGTTAATTTATCAAAATATCAAAACAATCAACAAATCAATACTAACAGTCTGAATGTTACTAACTAGTATATGTCCAATTTACAGTAATCTGTAGCATTTCATGATTTTATATCAAGTTGCCAGCAAAGCCGTCAAAATAACTCACGCAGTAAATCCATTAATCATGTAGGCATATCGGAGTAACACAAGGTCCAGCCAGCCACATCTTCTCTTTCTACCAGTGGTAACACCAAACTCTTTACCTCTCATTTGCAGCAATTCTCCAATTTCCTAACAGAGAGTAATACCATTACATGAACCTTTTTTTTCTTTTTAATTTGCAGTACATGATGCAGGTGTATACTTAACATTTTACGACACTGTAAATTACCTTAAAAGTTCTTCCCCCAATTTTTCACAGAGTTGTCCATTGGGATGAAAACAGAAACATAAAATGCTATCTCTTAATTCAAGAGAACGCTATTTGAGCAAATCTCTCAAAATTTGTTCCTGCTCTAGCCTTCTATTCCATAGGAAAGTCTGAGAAACTGATAATCAGTTTCGGCAGTCCTGTAAGCTCAGTGTAGAATCAAAAGAATGAGACATCCAAACACACAGTCAACTACTTGCATTTAACCAGTAACACTGATTTAACATGACAGACACACCAAGTTATTTCACCCAGTTATAGGTCACATCTAGGGCTGATAATACTCACATTATTTTGTTCTGTAGGAAAGGCACCGATTCCAACTCTCGTTGTATATGCTTTCACAACTCCGTACACTTCCCCGACATTCTGCGGTGGCATGCCCAGACCTGTACACACACCTCCAACTGTGCAGTTTGATGAAGTCACAAAAGGATATGTGCCTATTAAAAAAAATTGGGTTTAAAAACTTATTAAAAAACACTGGTGTTAAACTATTAAAAAAAAAAATCTAACCTGGTGAGGAATAGTTCTTGCATTGCACTTACCTAGGTTTTACAACAGTAAAAAATAAAACAAAACACACAATAAATGTATTTTGTGGTCAAGAACATATTTAATGGGCTCTTAGCTTTGTATGTACATTGTCTGATCCTTCTTTATTGAAAAAGGCAGAAATCTTACCACTTACTTCAACTGGTACAGAGGCAGAAGTTGACTACGTAACAATTCTGAATGCTCACAGAAGTCAAAAATTGGAATTAGACACCAGAAAACCATGCCTTGCTATCTTATATAAAATATACTCACTAATAGAACAATGCGAAAATTTGAAGGGAGACTTAAGAAAATGGTATTAAAAGGTTAGAAAATAAAGGTTTACCATTTTTCATTTTGGGAGAAAAAACAAAATACAAGCTCTACAAACTGGTCAGCACGTTGTAAGGATAAGAAATTGCAAAGAAATGTAGAATTCTAGAAAGAACAATTTTGCTTACATAATCAAATAAAAAAATTATTTAAGCAATTAAAGAAAATTAAAGAAAAGGAAAAAAAAAAAGAGATTCCTGGAATATAGTCTAGTCCATTCGTGGTGAGAGTTTGTCTCTAGTTAAATATTCAGCCCTCATTTAAAAAGCAGCCTGGACAGCAAAGATAAAAGATTTAAACATCTCAAAATCCTTAGGTTTACACTTTTTTTTTTTTTTTTTTTTGAAGTAATGGAAGATGAAACAGAGCATGCCAGTCCTTAGTTTATCTGAATTGTGAACAAATGCTTCAGCCACACAGTAACTACATACAAGCGAGAGACTTCTGCCTCACGCTTCAGACTTTTTTTTTTTCTTTTGGTGTAAGAGTCAGAGATGGGTAAGAGAGGAACAGCCAGGACAAAAGGAACTGAAAGCAATACAGACAACTTTAAAAAGTCAAAATGTTTCAGAGACTGTTCAGTGAGGTTTTGCAGACTAGCTTCAGGTATCTCTAGCTTCTTTTGCTTAACTCAAATCTCTCAAGAGAAAGACACAGGCTTACAGGTGATATGTAACAGCAGTTTGCAAGCACTAATTAGTCTTTCTCTTTCTTAGGACACAGTAGTTGAGCTTTTCTTTACTGACAGGTAAATATAGCTACTGGATGTCACAAACTGAGTCTGAGACAATTCTTATTAATTTTCAGCTCCAGCCTGCTATATTGACATTGGTTTATCCTCACTCAGTGTTTAAAAACACAGAAGACCACACTCCCCCACACCTACATGCCCACCCCCAGACACATGCAGCTTCATTACACGCTCCAGAAAAGCTGCATGAGCTGCAAGGCTGGGGATTTACCATCTTCACTGCCAACAGACACACATTCATAAAACTCACTTCAGTATTAAGACTTCTGTGCACCGAGGCACAGAAAATAGCCTCATTCAGAATGCTCAATAATCAAATTTGGCATTGTCAAATCTTTTGACTAGGACTTGTCTATTGTTAACCCAAGTGTCCAATCATCCACTGATGGTATCTACCTAAGGAGAGCAGATATTCTCTCTGTGTGTGGGTCTCACGGAACAGGCAGGAGAAAAATCTAAGTGACCCAAACAACTCTGTATGTACTATAGACATACCTGATGAGTTTCAGACTATTTGCATTTCCTATACTTATAGGAAATCTAAAATCCTCGCTACTTACAAAAAACACCCCCCCTAGAGTTTTCTGCAAATATCTTGTTTTGCATCAAACATTTCCCTGTGACAAGCATATTTAGAAACTTCTTTCATCTTTTTCTCTTTTTTTTTGACTTGTTAAAAAAAAGGAAGTTTCTTCCAATATTCAGATTATCATGGGAAAACTTGGTGCTTACACTTATAGTCACTAGGTCTTAGACATATCTTCCTCTTAAAAGAAGAGGCTTTCAAACTCGGTGTGTTTGAAAATGCCCAATATCAGAACTCCTATCAGTTGAAAGCAGAGTGTGTGCCAATTGTGTATTTGTTTGACAGTAGTCCTTACAGGCTTCCATTTCAGGCTTAAGCGTCTTTCCAACAATAAAAATGATGCAGTTACAAGACTAGTGAGACTGAAGAAAAATGTGACAAAATGCAGGAGCCAATCATATAGGCTGCTTATGCCTATACAGAGGTATAATAATTTATCTGTCCTTACAATATAATGATAAAAACCATAATAATCTCAGAAAAAAAAAGCTGCTTCTATCAAGAAGCTTCTGATTTTATTAGCAAAACTACAGTGTTTTAAGAAAAAACACACCATTTATAATTTCAAATTGATTGAGATAATCTTTTCACTCTTGCCTCATTAGCAATCCAGATTCCCAACATCTTTCCTTATGTCGTGAAACAGTGGAAAACTAAGTGTTATATAAAGGGCTTAAAAAAATGCAAGCTGATTCTTCAAAAGTCAACAAGTATTTTGCATATATACTTTGCCTCTTAAAGCTCTCCATTTTTCTTCTCCCGTGTTTTCCATAGATGTATACAACTGTGCGCCATTTCATATGAAATTTATAGACACTGAAGTAATAGCTACACTCTATTTAAGAAAAGTCACCTGATCTTTACTGTCATTCAAATAATTTATCTTGGGAGAGTCTAAAGCTTTTTGAAAGAACTTAATTAAAAACTTCCCCCCCCTCTAATTATTTGCTAGTCATAGAGAGTACTGTTCTCCCAAAATACAAAACACTTCTGCCACAAGAACAGCTAAGCACGGAAGAGTTTGTATTTAGTATTCCTCTTTCACAGCGTAAGTATATAGCAAAATGTGTCTCAAAAAGGTTATACCTACCAAAATCTATGTCCAGCAGTGCAGCATTTGCACCTTCTACTAAGATTTTCTTTGGTGGTCCATGTAAAGCCTCATACATGAAATAAACACCATCCCTTACCATTGGTTTTATTTTTTCCATGCAGCCCTGAATAATACAAAAGACTATTGTTTAGTATAATTTCATTATGATAAAGTCAGCCACAGTACAAGTGCTATTGCTCTCTCCTAACAATGCTCTTATTCCTTTTGAAAAACAAACATAAAGAAATGCTAAATATGCCATAATATGTGAACAAGGGAAGGAAGAACATTAGACTCAGATTTACATCAGACAGAGATGTATGCTCTTCCTAGGAGGAAAGAAAGAAAAAAAGAGGAAAAAAAAAGAAAAAAAAAACAAAGAAAAAAAAGGAAAAAAAAAAAGAAAAAATAAATACAAATCAAACTTTTGAAATGCTTTAGAAATATTCAAGCTTGAGCACAATCGCAATACTTTACTGTATTCATTTCCAATTGTTCAAAATTTCTCCCCCAAAACCAGCATGTGGGGGATGTTCCACTTCTGGCCACCTGAAGCCAACAAATGCACATAATTGTAAAGCGGCATTAATTTGTGATATATATACTGGTATGTTTGTAAGTAAAAGTAAGAAGTTATTTATTGGAATTAAGGGTCAAGTGCCTGAATGCCACTGAATAGCTGGATGTAAGAAGCCAGTAATGTTCAGATTAACACTTGGTACACAGCCTTCTTCCCCCATGAGAACATATGGAAGTTCCCATTCTAATGATTCACTTCACATTAAATATAACACTTTGTCTTTCAGAATTTAATCAAGTGCATTAGCATAAAACAAACATTAAGTGCAAGTAATTTTCCTCAAGCTACAAATACATATTATGTTTCCACCCTAACAATGAGTTTCAGAAATTCTGCAATCCTAATGTGCATTAAGTAAACTATAAAGCATTATAAAACACTCAACTGTAACTGATTTTTTAGGTCTACATATTGATAAAAATACTACAACTCAACATGTGTAACAGATATTATTTAAAGTAAGACAAACAGAAGTGCTAAGAACTCCCATATACTCCATTCTAGAGCTGGTAAACTGTGTTTAGTGGCAACTAAAGATACAAGAAGAATGATTTCTTTGGCCTGATTTTCTGAAGGAATTAAATATGTAACTGTGCACGCGCTCCCCTGTTTCACACATACCTCAATGGTTTTAAACAATTTGTCAAATTTAGTTGAAGTTTTCTACGGGGTAAAAAAAAAAAAAAAATCTCATACAGTTAAGTTTCTATAAAATGCGTGAACAAAAAGGCCGGGTAAGGGTAAGACACCTGACAATTTTTTCAAATAATAACTTGCGTGCACTGCAAAAATTGCACAATTAGGCATAAGAGAATTAATACTAGTGAGAAATCTCACAACTGTCCCAATTACAGGGAAAAGAGCAAATCAGAATTCATAATTAACCACAAGACTACTTTGCTGGCAATCAGGCTTCATGAGTTCTGCTGCTATCAACTTACGTCCTTCTACGTTGTTAGACAGTATTTTTTTTTCCTTAAGGCTTATTACTTAGAATAATAATTTACTTCAGTTCTTAAGTTTCTGAGACAAGGAATTAATATTCTGCTTTACAATGAAACATACCTTCCCCAACTACAATCCTGTTTTGTTTTTTTTTCTCCTAGCCAGTATGTTTGAGCAAGTAGAAGTGAAAAATAATTCTCCCCATACAAGCCTTTTTCTTAAACTTTACAATATTTCTCTTGAAACCAAGTTTTGAAATGCTGCATAAAGCAGGGTCAAAAGTGTCTTTAAGGATGCTAGCAGACTCTTCAAAATTGATACATACCAATTTCCCATGATATGTATTATGTTTTAACTCCTCACACAAGCATGAGCATGAGTCACCAAGACATTTACGTATCAGCAACTGCACACAGGGATTATATCATTTAACAGACAGAAGCAGACTTACCTTGAGCTTTTTCAATTCCCCTTCAATATCTATCTCTAAGGTAGGATATATCGCTTTGTACTGATTGGCTAACACTTTGAACCTGGAAGGCAAATATGCTTCACTAAGGTTTTTGTTTGTTTTCCTCCTCGCACCCCCACCAACCCTAGGTTTTACTGGTTACGTATCTGCAGTTATTTGGTGATTAAACAATTTTAAACAATAAAATATTTTAATAATTATA